GTGTGTGTGTGACCTCGCAGCAGCTCCAGGTGTGTGTGCACACACCAGCAGAACCTCCACCTTCACCTCCTCCAGCACACGTCTCTGTAGACATGCATGTCCTGTGTGAACACAGACATGTTAAAAACACGGATACATCCAAACCCTCCTCTGCTCCCTTGAGATGGTAAAAGCTTCATTTTAACTTTCAACCTAATTTACAACTGTGTTTGCAAAGATTTCAGGCTTAAAAATAAACTCTTCTAAAGATGTTGGGAATAAAAATTCTGCAAATCAAAAATGTACTGACCTCAAACAGTGGTGTCAAAAATGTTGTAATTCTGAATTTGCATAAATTATTGACTTTAGCTATTAATAATTTAGTCATTAATTAAATGTATCTTCAAATTTGCTGCAAGACAAGAGATCTTTCCTGCCCACAACTATCTGCAGTAAGACTTTAAAGAATCTCAAATTGATGAGTTAAAACAACAATTAATTTATCTTTGGGATCAATAAACTTTTTTTAGTTTAACTGGATGAGTCAGAAATAGAGTTGATTACTATGGGACTTTAAAAAAAAAAGCCGGTGCTCCAGAAAATCTATTTTTCCCACAAGAAAAAACATGCAGGACATTTATTAGGGTTATTAGAAGCATAAGGTTTCATGAAGGGTCCTCAGCCTCTGCACAGTTAAAAATGACACAGCTGCAGGCAGATCAGTTCCTGAGGCAATTTGAAACTAGGCATCACAAATCCAGAATTTTATAAATGCATTATGTTCATTTTGGCAGAATTAATAATATCAGTGGCCAACAGATGGCGCTAAAGACACGCAGTCCAACGGGAAGAAGAAATGACAACAAATTAAATTGACAAGAGGCCACTGACTGGAAACTATCGTTATGCGCGGATATTGATTGGGGATCAGTCTATTCAGAAGAATACAAATAGCTCACCTCTTTAAAATATGTTACAGTTAAACTGTTTTTAATTAAATTTAAACACCAGCTTCTCATTTTCGTCATCAAACCACAAAAACGTCAGACTCTACCTACATGTTTGGTTCTTCTTTCTGACAGCACAGTGTGACCACTGATCAGACACCATGACATATAAACCACTCCAACATTATTATCTGGTCTGCTGTTGTTCCAACCGACTGCTAAACCAGGAAACCATTTGTGTGACGGTTCAAACATTTACTGCACTTGTCCAGACTTGCCCTCTCATAGCATTTCTCATGCTTACTGAGGCCTGAGGAGGAGTGTCAGATGAAGATAATTCACCCGATATTTCTCTAAACGTCGCAGAGTTTGAGGTTTTAGGGAATTTGCTGGGACCAATCAGGTCTCAAATATTTTCAGAGGTGGAACTTATTCAAAGATGATTTTTCAACACTTCTGTTCCTTATATAAAGTGATTTCATTTGCTGCTTTGCATTTCTGACAGTTTTTTATATTAAACCTGCAACATGTGGCATTCATTTTCTCAGGTGAAATCCTACAACATGAAGGAAGGCTTTGTAATTTTGCTGTATTGTTTCATCTTTTTCTGATGATAAAACTCATACATATTGTTAGAAAGCACTCTATCATTTTCATGAGCTGTAAAAAATATTTCAATATTTTTAATAAATCCATATTTACAACCATGTTGTCTGAGTCCTGTGTAAGAGTGATTTCAATTCTAATCCAATCAGATTGGGTCTTAGAAACAGTTGATGTTTGTCCTTTTTTTTAAGCATCTTGGAAAAGATCTCTTGTTTTACATGATGTCATGTCAGTCCAATCATTTTAAAAATATTAATGATTTCCTTAACATTCAGTGGGAAACAAATCGAATAATGTCTCACTAAAATATTATAAACACAATGTGTAGCAGGAAGAAGCCTGGCCCAATATTCAGAACACCTGTCCTCTAATCACCTCATGATGGGTGGAGAGTATAAATGGAGACTCAGCTGGTTGCTTATGCTGGCATTTGGTTGCACATCGTTGAGAAGGTTGCTTGTGTATCGTGCAGGTCTAAAACTCCAACATCAAAACCACTGGAAGTCTCCTGCTTGGTACTGGGGTGTGGCTGAAATTCACCCTCCCCAGTGCAGTTTCACATAAAATGGATCATATTGGAAAGCTGATCCTCCTGCTGTGGGCTGGAAAGGACTCTCTGGTTTGGGGTGAAGTCATCCAGCTCTGGTAGGTGACGATGGTTTCCTCAGGCTTCCACCATCTCCTGTAAATCACCTACTAACCTTTTGATTTAATTCCAGCTCTGACGCTGCTGCAGCTCGCCAAGACCCTGCTAAAGCGCCAGATGCAACACTAAGGAATGAATCTGATACTCTGCTCCTCACAGCAGGGTAACCAGAAGTTGTCAATAGGAATTGCACCCAAGGAAATGGACTGCCAGTAGGCTTGAGGTTCATGACCAAGACTTTTCCAAAAAATTACATTTTATTGTTTCATGTTTTGTTTTTAAAGAGACATAAGGAAACGCAACAGGAAGGGAGTGTACAGTACTGATGCCTACCAGCAGGGGGAAGTCAGTCCAAATGGGAACTGGTTCCTAAAATAAATGTTTTAATCATCCCAAACACTTGTGAACAGGCATCCCAACACCAGCCACTTGCACAACACACAGGTCCAGTCTCCCTGGAGGCCCCTCCCACTACCTTCAGCCTGGAGACAAAAGGGTGGGGTTAAATAAGCAAATACAAAAAAACAAATACAATTTAAACTTGGCCAAAGACTAAAATTAGGTTACCTCCAAAAACCAATAAAAAAAATCAATACTTTGAATAGTCTAAAAGAACCTGAGGCTGCTACCTGCAGCAAGGCTGGAGGCCACACAAAACAATAAAATGCTCCTATGTAACAAATTTAAACCAACTCCGTTTTTAATTATCTTCTTTGGTTTTCATAAGCAACCAGCTGAGAGAGTCTCCCTTTATACTCTCCACCCATCATGAGGTGATAGGGCCCAGGTGTTTTGAATATTGAGGCAGGCTTCTTCCTGCTATACGTTTTGTTACGTTGTCTAACAGCTCCTCCCTTGACTGTAGTTTTGTTTGCTTTCATTTTAAATCTTATTTTTATCAGGCACAGGCTGGACAGAAGCTTTTACTTTTGATTTCGTCGTGGGGTTTTTTTCTTTCTGAAACTTCAATTTCATCCAAATAATCGATAAAAGAAAAGGTGAGCAGTTAAAATATAATCATATTCTCGGCTTAATGTTTTCAGCTTTTGTTACGTTACGTACTGATGAGGAAGCAGCGCTACGGCAGATTATAATGCTGCTTTGTGTTCAGAAAGTAAAATGCTAAAATAAATACTTTATTTTAGGCACATTATGCATTTGAATCGTGTTTGTCAGATGTGTGTTTGCAGCTCAGACAGAAAGTTAAAAGCTCTGTAACAGATGGTTTCTAGAAAAGCAGGAAATGCAGATATTATCATGAACAAAAGATTTTTCATATTTAACATCAGAAATGATATTAGTGCTGCTTAATTCAGGATCTGCTGAACCAAAGGATTCTAGCTGATCCAGCAAGAGCATTATTCATTCATTGGGTAAGAAAGTTGAGGAATAAAACAAAACGATCGACAAAGATCAAACGTCATCGGACAGCTGGCGCCACCTAGTGACAAAAATATGCTCCTGCATGTTGCAGAGAAAATCAAGCTTCATGTTTTAACTTTAGTTGCGAAGACTTTAGTTTGTGACGTATACTAAATATTAAAATAAATACTTTATTTAATGAATTGCGTTTTGACAGATGTGTTTGCAGCTCAGACAGAAAAGTAAAAGGGAACAGATGGTTTCTGCAGAGAAAATTCAAATTTTATCAGGATGAAGAAAAACCTTTTTGTGATAAGAGACTCAAGACAGTAAACTTTTTTACATAATTATTAAATAAGTATTTTTGACCATAACTTTATTTTAGGCATATTTTCCAACTCCAAGCTGAATCTTAACAGCAGGTGATGTGAATATTTGTAATGAGGGAGGCTGTAAAGAGGCCATTAATTATGAACATATAGATATTCCTCAAATTATGACTCTTAAACATTCAGTCTTGAACATTTATGTTTGAGGTTTAGTAATATTTAAGATTTAATGAGAATCTGTAGTCATAATGCTCAAAAATAAAACTTGCCCAATATCACAGTGTGTTTCTGTCACTGATAATCAGAATAATAGACGACATCA